GGCGGGTACCTAAACATTGATAAGGTATCTAGAGTGTTAAGAATACATGTTTGTATTCTTTTTATTTTTTTAAATGTTTCATTTTTATTGTAAGATGCAGATATAACACATTTTCACAAGTACAAATGTTTTTGGCAAATTGCTAAACATGGAGTTACACATAGTACTGACATCACATATAATACTGGCATTGGTCAACAAGTAATTTTTGAGCATTTTCACCCTTCGTGTTTCGCAGGTTGGGGGGCAGAGTTATCTCCGTATGTGAGGTGTGCCCATCCGCAAGGTCTTAGTACTTGGGATGGTGGTCCCAGGGGAGTGGCAGCTTTGGTAACTATAGGCAGTGTAGCCTTCCGGGTGGTACCGGGGACCTTGTTGTAGCCTCAGTTAGGTCACAGGTGTCTGCACAGGCAAGAAAAGTACAGTGGTAAATTGTATATCATACATAGAGCATGTAAATCTGGGGGTCCGACCATGTGGTGCATCTGGTGCACAGTAGTGCATTGGGCCCAGCCAAATCTTGGTCATGTTAGGGGTTTATTGGGGAAACCGCCAGTTCCGTGGTGAGGATATCTTGCTGTTTGGGGCAGTCTGTCAATAGCAGTGGGCATGCACCCAGAGGGCTAGGTTCCATTGTAGCTGGATGTGGTGCTGTCTGTGTGCCCTTGGCCACTTCCTACATTAGCGGTGGGTATGCACCTATGAGGTTAGGTAGCCAGTTGACCCTACTCAATTTACTCGCAATCTTACTGGATTTTCTAGTTGGTCTCAGGCTAGTGTCGGTAACTACCAATATCTAAGTGCTTGGGAGTTGAACTTGAGAGAACTAGGGGGGGGGGGTTAACAGGAAGGTAGGGAGAGAATGAACTCTTTTCATCAAACTATTTACATATTGTATTCCTTAAAGCTACAGGAACTCTTTTCATCAAACACTCTACATATTGTATTCCTTAAAACTACAGGAACTCTTCTCATCAAACACTCTACAGATTGTATCCCTTAAAGCTACAGGAACTCTTCTCATCAAACACTCTACATATTGTATTCCTTAAAGCTACAGGAACTCTTCTCATCAAACTATCTGCATGTCGTGTTCCTTAAAGCTACAGGAGATTTTCTCTTCAAACCATCTACCTATTGTATTCCTTAAAGCTACAGGAACTCTTCTCATCAATCTTTCTTCATATTGTTTCATTAAAGCTACAGGAACTCTTCTCATCAAACTATCTACATGTAGTGTTCCTTAAGGTTACAGGACTCATCTCACCAATCTATCTTCATATTGTATTCCTTAAACTATATGAACTCTTGTCATCAGTTTACCTTCATACTGTATTCATTAAGGTTACATGAACTGTTATCTTCAAACTATCTTCATATTGTGTTCAGTAAATATTCATGAACTGTTATCTTCAAATTATCTTCGTATTGTATTCCTTTAAATTACAAGAACTGTTCTCTTCAATCCTCCTCCTCGTAAAACTCCTTAATGAGGAATTGTTCCATCTAAATTCTAATTACTATTCTAAAAACCCTAAGGGTTCTCCTAACTATATTTCTGCAGTTGAGTTGCACTCCAAATCCATAGGAAACATAATGTTAAAGGTGGGGCGGCCTAGGCACAGTGTATCGAATGGACCCATTGGTTGGGTGTTCCCTGTACTCAGGTTGGTGGTCCTCAGGATGTGTTTGATACGTACATATGTAAATAGTTCACTGTTAGGCAGTTGGTAGAGCTTTTGGAGGTCATGGAAGTGTTGTATCTCCCCATCTCCCAGCAGTGTTAGGTTAGGTGAACTATATTGTAAACTAGTTAGTGGGGCATACATGTCTACGGGTTGCTGCAGAATTTTGGGTCCCCATCTTACCCATATGTGAAGGGATATTTTGGAGGACATCAAGAGAGTTATCTGTTGGGATCCATATCAGGTCCGTCAGTGAATGTGGTGTGCTAATTACGTTTTCCAGCTGAAGCCACAAATGGTTTTGCTGGTTAGACAGGAGCCTTGCTGTCTGGGCCAGGTTGGTTGCTAAATAGTATTTAGAGATGTTAGGGACACCTACGCTTCCTCCCCCCATGACCAATCCCATGCTGGATAGGGATAACCTGTGGATTTTTCTTCCATATATGTGCATTCAACAAACGTTGAAATTGCGCTAGAGTTGTGTTTCCCCCCCATCCTTTCAGTACCAATTTAGTCTTTGTCAATGTTTCGTCGTGGTTATGTTTTAGTATGTGATGTTTCAATAGCGCCAGTTGTATACCCAGGTAAGAGATGGTATCTTTTCTCCACTCGAATGGGTAGAGTGCCTTCAGGTCAGTAAGAGTGGTACGTGGTAGGTGCACTGGCAGCACCTGTGTTTTAGCTACATTGTTTTTGTAGTAGGATGCCCGTCCGTAGTCAGAGAGAAGTGTTATGAGGCTCGGAAGGCAGACTGTCGTGTTGGTGAGGAATAAAAGTACGTCGGCGGCGAAGAGGGCTACTTTTTGGGGTCCTATTGGTGACAGTACTCCGAAAATAGAGATGGCCCTCTTTATTTTGTGTATTAGGGGTTCTAGTGCTAGTATGAAAATTAGGGGTGAGAGAGGGCATCCCTGTCTGGTCCTGTTAGTGAGGGCGAATCGTCTGGAGAAGAAGCCCGAGCTCATTACTGAGGCTCGTGGGGATGAGTATAGGGAGAGGAGGCCTGTTACAAACTTGGTCAGAAATAGGAGCCAGTGTAAAATTTCTGTCATATACCCCCAGTGGAGCCGGTCAAAGGCCTTCTCTGCATCTAGGGCGATCACTAGGCCCTGTATTCTATTGGTAGCCTACATGTTTGTATTCTTAACACTATAGTGTTCATTTAATTGAATGAATTAGGACAGGATACACATCCCATTACATTTAATACTATACATAAAAAAATAACAACGCAGTGGCATAGCATGGGTTGCCAGCACCCGGGCATGGCAGGTATTGCCATGTGCACTCCCCGAGTCTGGGTTCCTAGAGAACCTTGCTCCCCCTTTCCTACCCATCTCATCTCCGTGAGGTGTGTGTTACACTGATAGTTGGGTTGTGTACATTTTAAAATCTACTCCTGAATTAATGTGTATAGTTTATACACATTACTTTACAAGTGAGGTGGATTTTATAAAAAACCAAAAAGCAACTATCACTGTCATACAAGTAATGGAGATGAGGGGGCTAGGGAGAGCAAGGTTACCTAGGCACCTGTTACCGGTATACCGGTATGATACCATTTAATATGCATTTACATATTGCCTACTAATAGCGTGATTTCCCGCTGAAGAAACCGGCAGTATCTTCAGTCGGGAAATCATGCTATTAACAGACATGTAATTCACCATTAAGGATTACATGAGGACAGTATGGCTGTAATTAGCAGGAAAGTTATTGTAAATGTTACATGGCCCGTTGTGTTGAAAAACTGTGTAGAATGTTCGAACGCTGGGAGATTTTCTGTGTGAGGGGGAGGAATGGTATCTTTTATTTTCTGTATTATTACTAGTCTCTTTTTTTCTTTTGAAATTGTGCACCCCTAAGAATTTTGCGCTTAGGGCAACAACCCATGTGCCCCACCACATTTTGCCTCTGCCACTACCACTACCACTATCTTACACTTTTCTAAACCTTTAAGAGAGTGAGTCTCAGTGGCTATCAGCATATCAGTGTTACTGGTAAGCTCAACTGCTGTTAAGGACATATATATAGTCAATACAATGTTAAACAAAGATCTGCACACCAGTCAAGCCATATAACTTGCTTTTCCCACAGAAATCACAAATTTGCAGTGATGTTACTACCGCAAAGGATTATGGATGTACATATGCAAATTAGTTGCCCACCCACAATGCTTTGCGGTAGTGACATAACTGTAAATTTGTGATTTCTGTGGGAAAAGCAAATCTTATGGCTTGACTGGTGTGCAGATTTATGTTTAACATTGTATTAACTATCCACTGACTTCAGGTGGAATAGGTTTTCAATCACAATTCTTCCCAACCATAACGTATATATGTGTATATGGGCGGTATGATGTTTAGATTAAAATACCCTGGATACATAGAGGCCTGTGAAATGTTCTTGAATTGTTTTTTTTTCTTAATCCCAGAAAGTGCTAATTTATCCTGTTAATTGGGCTACATAATGTCTGATAATGTCTCTATACAAGATTATAACTTGTTTTATTTATGTTTCCTTCAATTTCAAACCACAATGTTTATCCACAGTTGATACTATACAAAGTGCGTGTTTAGAAATACATTTACTTTGTTACAGTAAGATAAGAAATCACATTCATCAACAACTTAACAACAGATAAATCAACAACTCAACAAGAAAAAAGGTGATAAAACAAAAGTAACAAATGGTTCACAGATAACACAAATGATAGCAAATTGCTGTAGGTTTTTTCCCATGTTATTTTACAAAAGCCTTCAAATAGTTGATCTTTATGAAAAACTAATTTGGCAGGGGAGGTGATAGAGCCTTTGTAATGCTTTTTCTGCTCTTTTAATTTTTTATTTTTTTTTAAATTTGTATCCAAAATATTCAAGCTGTCATCATAGGTAATATTTATACTGACATTGTAGGTAAATAATAAGGACAAAAACATATTATTGTTTCTGTATAAATCACTTGTTTCTAATATGTCCTTATTTCTTTTCTGACTATTTATGCAATCCATATACAACCAGGGAAGGGTGTAAACGCCCTACTGGTGCAAAGTGATTTGGTGTGAAATGCATGAAGGTCAGCATTTACCTATCCGCGTTACCTCAGAGTTACTTCCGTGTTTTGCCGATGGGAATCTCCGCCACCCTATAATGACGTGATCTTCCCTCGCCTTATAGGGAAGTCGTGCCAAGTTTGAACCGCTGAGTTATTTTGTCTCTACTGATACAAAACTTGCTGAGTTTAGCTCTATACTCGTTAAATTTGTGTACCGACTCCTGCTTTTGATCTACCGGCGCTGCTGACCTCTCCTGCCCAATTGACCTGGATTTAACCTAACAATTCCCTCTTGTCTCCATGTACCTATACCTGCATTGTAATATTACTACGCTGATCTCTTCTGACCCCTGAACTCAGATTGCTTTATGACTATTCTCAGAGGATTTATCTTCTCTCCATAACTGAACCTAAAAAGTACTGAAAATCAGGTAGTCAGTTCCTATAATTCTGTTTACTGGACCTAAGTCTTGGACACCTATTTTTTTAAAGGAACACTATAAGCTTAAAAGTAAATATATTCATTTTTTTAAAGGGACATGCATCACGTGACAATTAATTAACACTGTTAAACAAAAATAGAAACCAAAATAAAGCAAGAAAACTTAAGAAAAGTATGCAATAAATGTTTATAAACTTACTATAAACTTGGTCAGATTGCATTATTGAGCATGCCTCTCAGCAAGGGGAGTTTGTTAAGCCCCTTCCTTTGCCCACCCATGCCAGTTTCAGTCCACTACAGAAACAGGGCATAATTGTGCAGCAGCAGGAGAGAAAACTCCCTGATTCGACTCCCCCTCGTCAGGATGTTGCAAGATGAAGAGATCTTCCAACTGCACTGAAGTAAATAGGACACTGATTGGTTCGATCAGAGTCCCCCTGCAGTGGTTAAAGAAATCTTAAGAAAGAAGAAGCAGGTTAATATGAAAGAAAGATCACAATTACCTGCTTTTTCAACCTGCAAAGTGAGGTGACCATCTCATTCAAAGCTAAAGCTTTTGAATTAGACAGATGTCTCAAAGTGATGCTTGTCATTTTATCTTTAACATGTTCATTTATTGATTTAGATTACTGACTCCCTGCCCCTTCTAAAAATTACACAACTTAGTGTTTAGGTAGTGACTGCGCTGGATTTTGTATGTTACAGTGAATTGTATGAGAATGTTAAATATTAATAGGATCTATTGATTTGAAGATGCTGATACAAGGGTTAAGTAGCACTAACTATTCACACAAGAACAGCCAGTATGTTTTGGTTTATCAGGACTTTCCAGCACTCTTCAACATAATAGCAGCTATAATTCTTTTTATCTGAGCTTTTGCAAGGTTTTCAGATTTTATTTTTACAAATTACTGTTTTCCTTGTCAACTGGACAATGACTCCCAGGAAACACATTCTAATTAAAGGCTAGCTAGTGACAGAGGCATCTTAAAAGGGACAGTGATGAGCTATATTATGTAATTATCATTAGACAAAAAAAACATGTATAAAAAAGCAAAACAAACAAAAGGGAAAACATTTAAAGAAACACTGACAATATATCTAACTAATACACTGAGTGAACATTTGGAGTTGCATTTAACAATTTACATTGAGTTCTTTTCTTTATATTCTTTTCTTCTTTATTCCTTGAGTGTCCCTGCAACAAACATTGCATGTAGCTGATTATGTTGCCCCCACAACCGTCGTCGCCAGCTACTCTGAGGTGGCTTCACACGTTGTTAAAGAAGTTAATTTGTTGCTTAGCATTTCAATGGGAAGGCTTGCCCCATAAGGGTCACTAAATGTTCCATGGTGAAAAAAGAGATCAGGCTAAACTCCCTATCTAATCAATTTATTTATGAACATTTTCTGTAGAACACAGAACCTAACACTTTTCTTTTAGGGAGTGGTTGTGGTCACGGTTGGGTGTATTTGTCACCATTCTAGGTGACTAATGAGCTAATGAGCAAATGAGCTATCTCTGTCAAACTTATTTATCTCTGTCAGACATTTTACAAAGCTGGGGAATATGTTGATGTCTTATAAATAATAATAAAAATAACTTCTGTATTTGAAAAGGTTAGTTGAACAAGTTATTTTCTCTGAAAAATTAATTTCATATAAATATTAATGTACTTTAAAGACACAGTGATGTGAGTCACATTGCTGTGGACCTCTGTGACTCACTCCAGTATTGCAAACACTTCTGATATCCTTAAAAATAGTACAAAATGGTAGAATTGGGAATGTGGGAATTTGAGGGTGGTGGGGACAGGGATTATAAAATACACTATACTATATGGACAAAAGTGTTAGGACACCTGACCATTACACCAACAGGGAGTTTTATATTGCATTTTAAATGCATAGACATAAATGTGTAGTTGGTCCCTCTTTTGCAGCTATAATAGCTTCCACTCTCCAGAGAAAGCTTTCCACAGGATTTTAAAAAAATTCTGTGAGATTTTTTTCACATTCACCCAGTAGAGCATTTGTAAGGTCAGGCACTGCTGTTTGACGAAAAGGCGTGGCTCACAATCTCCATTTCAGTTAATCCCAAATGTGCTTGATGGGGTTTAGGTCAGGGCTCCATGTGAGCCAGTCAAGTTCTTCCACACCAAACTCCCAAACTCATCCAACTATGTCTTTATGTCCAAAGCATTAGGATTTTATTTCACTGGAAGTAAGGTGCTTAGCCCAAACCCTGATAAACAAACGCACACCATCATCCCTTCTTCACCAAACTTTACACTTTGCACAATTCTGTCAGGCAGGTAATGTTCTCTTGGCATCAGCCAAACCCACACTCACATATTCGATTGGAGTCCAGTGGGAGCGTCCTATACACAACTCTATCCGACGCTTGGCATTAGGCTTGATAATGTGAGGCTTGCATGAAGCTGCTTGGACATGGGAAACCATTCCATGAAGCTCCTGCCACACAGTTTTTGTGCTGATATAAATGTCAATGGAGGTTTGGAACTCTTTGGCAATGGAATCAGCAGTATTGGCAACTTTTACGCACCATTCACCTCAGCACTCGGTGACCCCAATCTGTGACTTTACATGGTATTCTGCTTTGCGGCTGAGTTGTTCCTGTTTCAAACGATTCCACTTTCCAATAATACCACTTAAAGTGAATATGGAATATCTAGCAGGTATGACATTTTACAAACTGACTTATTTCAAAGGTGGCATCCTACCATAGTACTACGAATAAGATATTTGTAAATGCAGACTGCATGGCTAGGTGCTTGATTTTATACCCCCGTGGAAATGGGTCTGATTGAAACACCTGAACTTAGTAATAATTATTAGGTGTTGCCAAATACTTTCGCCCACATAGTGAAAGTACAAGATGTAACGAGGGAAACAGCCAGGAGAAAAAGAATGAAGTCTATCTAAAACGACCTGAGAGTCCAGAATATGTAAGTAGTTATTGGTTTCATTACTGGCTGTTTCCCCTTTCATGCCGTATCTTCAGTATATACTTCAATAAAGTTTTGTGTACTCTGTGAGTGTTTGCACAATGGCATCACAGATTTCGTTTGCATTAACCTAAGCAAAGCTTTTATCTACTTAATAAGTTAATACATACACAAGTATTTTATTTTCAAAGCCAACACAAAGTGTATGCTGCAAAAATGTAAACTATACAGACATTACAGTAAAAGGATTAATGAGCCTATAGCATTTTCCGCAACAAATAATTGACACAAAAAAAAGGATCACATAGTTTAAAATGATTTCACCACTAACAAAATAATGGCACTTGCCTCATTGAATGAAAAAGGATTAATGATGCATTTATATACCAACATAACTTTGCCTAAAAATCTTTGCAATGATTAAGATACATGCAAATATTTTGACCTATATCTTCAAATGATGGAATTTAAACAGAGCAGGTTTAAAGGGATACTGTAGTGGCAGGAATACAAAGCTGTATTCCTGGCACTACCGATGCCTCTGCCTCCCCCCTCCCTTGCGCCCCTCCTACCCGGTAAATAAAGGGTTAAAACCCCTTTATTTACTTACCTAAACCCAGTGCCAAAGTCTCTCGGCACTGGGTCAAAGCTCTGCCCCCTCCTCCGTCCTGCAACAAGTGGGGTCTAATGCCGCTCGTGCATTAGACTTCCCCATAGGAAAGCATTGGATCTATGCTTTCCTAATGGGAAAAATCTGACACTGGAGGTCCTCATGCAGATCGTGAGGACGTCCAGCATCAGATAAGGGATAAAAAGTCTGTTTCGATTCAGGAAGCCCTCCTGTGGCTGTCTAAAAGACAGCCACTGAGGGCAGACTTAGAGCTGCAATGTAAACATTGCAGTTCTCTGGAACTGCAATGATTAACATTGCAGCACTAGGTGCAAAAGGGACACAGCACCCAAACATCTTCGATGAACTGAAGTGGTCTGGTTGCCTACAGTGTCCCTTTAAGCATTCATAGTGTGTATCTGCATTCTCTGAGTTAAACTCAAATCAAATATCAGTTTTATAGAGAATGCAGTAATAGAGTAATTTTAGCATACTAGCAACCATAAAAATAAAAAGGATATTATATTGGTCACTTCTTCTTAATATCTTTAAGTGCCAAGGATTGTAACTAAAATACATTTAATTGCTGCCCATTCACCAACATATTATTAGGGTGAGGACCTCTCACTGATCGCCAACCACAGAACCCCTACCTGTTGGCATCAGGTAGGGACTAAATGTTAATAATTAGGACTGGACAGTTTACTGGGAATATTTCCAGGCAAGTCTTGAGAAGGGAAGTCAGTGAGAGTTGAGGCTTGTCTGACAGAGCACTCTAATTGGTTGGTTTCCAGCCAAACATTCAGAGAGCTTTGACTCCCTTTTCAATCGACTCAGGACCCTCCATTCAGGGGAAGGGAGGCGAGCGGGGGAGGTAATATGAAATTTCCTTTTTTATAAATCAAAAAACTCATAAAGGTTTTTATCACTATGGTACTTGCAACGCATGCAAAAACCTGAATCTACTGCAGTATCCAGATATTCCTTTACGTGGATGAAATGCATCTATAGCTCAGAGCCAATTTTTAAAATGGCTCTGTAAATTGTGAGTGTTCCAATCTACCTCTTTACTTCCATATTGTATGTACATATTACACTATGGTATTTTTATATTTACATAACAGAAGGTCTATGCATGAACTTTAAAAGACCTATCTGTGATTATATATTGAAAACGTACATAATCAGAGTGTGTGCTGTCACCTTTCTGTTTTTTATACTTTACGGTAATACTGACAAGATATTCCTTGGGTACGAAACTAATGCCTATGCTTTCGCTATACCCAACAGGCAACAAGATTCTTTATTTCCAATATTGTATTATGTTTGCAAAAACGAATGTTTAACCACTTAAGGATGGTGGGCGTTCTATGCTGTCCTTAAGGAGCCGAGTCTAAATGGCGGTGGGCGGTACAGAATGTCCCCGCCGTCCTATTCACTCACCTGATAGCCGCCATTCCCCCGTCGGCGATCGGTGTTGCTCCCCATTTTGGAGGACTGCTTGAGAGCCCAGACAGTCCCCACTTGGCAAATTAGTCAGCATGTGATCGCTCTGAAAGAGCGGTCACATGGCCG